CGGAACTTATAAAAAATTAAGTTTAGGTTTACCCCTTTTTTTTTGGGTCTTAGGATAGCCTTAGTTCATTTTTTTACCCAAGTTAAACCTCCAATTTGGTCCTTCAATTATTATATGGGCTTTTGATTTGGTTTCTAAATTAAAAAAAAATTCTTAATTTAGTTCTTAAAATTTTTAATTTTAACTCCAATTTAATTTTTTTTGTATAAAAATAATTGAAATGTTTTATTATTAACGTGATATATGACCTTTAAGTAATGGTTTTTTATCATTAAATAATAGACATGTTAATTATTTTTTAAAAAATGACCAATTTGGGCTAAATTTGAAAATTTTAAGAACTAAATCAATAATTTTTTTAGTTTAGGGACTAAATTGAGAGTTTATACAGTAATTAAGGGTTCAAATTAAAAATTCAACCTTTTACCCATAGTATGGAGTCGTAAGATTCGTTATTCCGTGTGTATGGTTAAAATTAAACTATCATTGTTAAAAGTACATTAGTCATTTTCAATTATATTTTATAATTTAATCATTTTTAGGTTCAAATCCTCAACTACTTTTTCATAAAATTAAATATCCCCAACAATAATACAGTAACCGATAAGAATTTATAACTTCAAAATAAATATCCCAAATTCAGTTATTTAGAACAAAACAAGCTATTCATTCCACATAACTCTAAACTATTAATTTTAACTTTTTAATCTGTTCTGTTTATATACTATTCTATTACTGTTAAAAAAGAAAAAAGCAACACAAGCTATTGAAAAATTCAGAGAACAAAGGATTTCTGAAAAGGTCAAGTAAAAACATATTGATATTGCAGAGGTTTTTGCCATCCGAATTCGGGCACGATATCGACAGAGCAGATCCAGTGGAACCAGGCCTCACCATGTACAACCAGAAGAGGAAGATCAGAAGGTACATTGAAGATGAAGGGATTCCGTACACTTACATCTGCTGTAACTCCGTTGCCGCCTGGCCCTACCACGACAACACACACCCCGCGGATGTCCTTCCACCGTTGGATCACTTCCAAATCTACGGCGACGGTTCTGTCAAAGGTACATGATATTTTGTTCGGTAGTACTACTTTGGACTACTACCTAGTCCTTTTTTATGAACATAAGAGACAAATTTTATTTTTACTTGTATCTTTATAATTCTTTCTTGATTTTAATTATTTATTTTTAAAGGTAAAACATAAATTTTATCTAAATTTTTAATTTAAAGAAAAAAAGTTTTTTTTAAATGACTTGTAATGTTCTAGGAATGAAGGGATAATTAATTAGAATGACATCAATTAAAATTATAAGACATTGCAGTTGACATTTAATCAGGATTCAATAGAATCAATGTCCTGAATGGAACGGGAATCTTTCGAGGGATAGTAGTAAAAATTACCAATGTCTTATAATGTTATCCTCATTTGCACAAATTTCAAGATTGTGGTCCAAAGAAGAGAAACCTGAGTTTCTTTTTGTTGCACAATTGGAAGTTTGGAACTTAGTTTGCCAAACCCGAATTAAATTATTTAGGTACACTCCATGTCGTTAACTGTGTATTAAGTACCAAAAAAAAAAAAAAAAAAAAAACTTGATTGATAGTGTATTAGGTTTCATTTAAATAAAGCTATGGTCTACCAAAAGAAGACAAACTTGAATTGATTTTTCAAATCTTAGAACGTGTAACTTAAATATAGTGAAGTTTGATTCCAAATCAAGTAACGTCATCTTAATGTGTCTGGTTGAAGATTAATCAAACTTATTGACATAAAATAAGTTTAATTAGTATATAAATAAGGTGTGGTTAAGTATCAATCTTATTCTTAATTTCTAGTTTTGATCTATTTATATTATATATAGAGAGAGAGAGTTAAAATTGTGACTATGAATGGTTAATATATAACGAATATTTAGTTCAAGTTGAGGGATTTAGTTGTTTCAAACAATTTACAATAACTATATGTTTGAATTAATTTTGAAGATTAGATCAATTAATAAGTAAAAGATTTAAAATTTTAAATTAGCATTTAAAGAAATTTTTTTTAAAATATATTAAATTAATATAAAAATATATCTTTAAAATCACTTTTAAAAAAATGAAAATGTGCTTTTGTATGAGATTAAACCAAATGGAGCTTTCAATAAAGCAAAAAGTTAATTTTAATTAGTTATTAAAAATATTTATGTCCTAAGAATCTGAACTCCAATTCGAATTCAAACACATAAATTTTAAGATCAAATTCCTCGAATCTGCCCGTGACTGAAAAAAAACAAAAAACAAATGAAGAAGTTCCGTGCACGTCTTTCCCACGTTTAGAAATTTTTACATTTTAAATTTATTTTGTAAAGAAAAAGTGAGGGTAGTGGAGGAAAAACAAAATAAAATAAGAAAGTAGTCCGCGCCGTCCTCCAGGCGCAGGGAAGATAAAGCCGCCTGTAGGCATTATTGGGTGGAATTAATGCAGTCAAAAAGAAAAATTCAGACACACACATGACTTGCCTGTTAGGTTTCCTCGTGACAGATCCTGGCTACCCTTCCCTGAAAAGTTCGTTACTGTTTTCGTTTTTGTTTTTTGTTTTTTTTTTCATAAAAATTAATGCATTATTTGGGAGTCTACATATCATTTTTTTTGGCAGCACCATATTTAAAAATATAAATTGTTTATAAATAATTGATTTTATTTAGTATTTTTATATATTTTGTGATAGAAAAATATTAAAAAAAAATTTAATGACAATAAATTGCAACACTCCCATGTAAAGTTTAAGAGTTTCTTAAACGGTTAAATATAAATTATTAATTGAAAAGACAAATTTTAATATCAAGAGTACTATCTTTTATTTAGCAGTTTAAACTGTACAATTTTTTTGTTGTTGTAACTACTGTATATATAATCACTAAATAAAACATCCTTCGTCTTTCTTGAAAATCTATGTACGTTTTGGATGTAAATCCAGTCAAATTTATTGAAATTAAATACTTTTTATGAGAAATTGAACGGTGTTTATTATAATTACATAATTTTGTTTGGTACGTAGAAGGGTAAATTATTTGGTATTACAGAAGTTAATTTGAACCTTTATTCCTAACCTTAAATCTAGATTTTTAAGTTAATTGGTACAAATTTTCTTGTTTGTGAATGAAACTACATAAATTTGTTGTATAGAAATTCTTAATTTTTTAGAGATATGCATGATAAACACTTTACTTTTAAGTTCTTCAGCTTCTGTTTCCCGAATTAGGCATCCAATTCATACCAGTTCTTTTCTTTTTTTTGGGTAATAAAACAGCATATTTTGTGGCCGGATCTGATATCGGAAAATTCACTATAAAAACAATCGACGATGATCGGACAATCAACAAATCGGTGCATTTCCGGCCACCGACCAATCTACTGAGCATCAATGAGATGGCTTCTCTTTGGGAGGGGAAGATCGGCCGCGTTCTTCCTAGAGTTACCATCACCGAAAATGATCTGCTTGACAGAGCCAAAGGTTTGTTCAACTAAACCCTCTTTCTAGAATTATTGTTCCAATTCATTTTTGTTTTGTTTTTTTTTTTTGGCATATATATGTTTGATGATTGATCATATTAACAAGTTAAACCTTCCCGTTCTAAACTTAAGATCTTAAATTTAAAATCTTTTAAGTTATTACAAAATCTCGAATTTAGAGTCTTTTAAGTTATTAACTATTTAAGCTCATTTCATGCATGTAAACAAAATTGTTGAATATTTACCAAGTTCCTGAATGAATGTAGAGATGCGTATCCCACAGAGCATTGTGGCAGCATTTACTCATGACATCTTCATAAAGGGATGCCAAATAAATTTCTGCCTGGATAACCCTACCGACGTTGACATCTGCTCCCTCTATCCAGAGGATCACTTCCGATCTCTCGATGAGTGCTTCGACGACTTTGTCAAGAAGATCGTCGACAAGAACCCAAAGGCAGTGAGCATGCCAGCCAGCAAAAATGGCATATTCGTGCCCAAATCTGACACAGAACCGCTGGCTATCACGGTATAAGTAATCTCTGTTTCTTCTCATGGAAGTTCTTCTAAGGATGAAACAGGAAAATGCTGTCCTTTCAATATAATTCTATCATATTTATCCCGTGGTATACTTGCGGCAAAATTAGTAGTAACAGATCATTATGTCTAGTTTCTAAAATCAGAGGAATGTTTATGAATAAAGCTCCTTCTTTGTCTTCACAACTAGGGAGGAAATGATCATGTCGAAGGGTAATATTTGTTAGTATCCCATTCTTCTTTATTGAGTCAACAACTCTAAATAAAGAGTTCAAATAATGAGTTTCTCAACCAAACATGGCTTTAACATAATCTCTGTGTTTGTTCAAAAGTTACCTTCCATATTATTAGAAGATTACTTCAACAAACATTTTCTTGATACCAAACAAGTTTCGAGTTTAACAATCCTACATTGGAAATAAACTTCATCTCAAGAAAATTTTAACAAATAAACTTCAACACAAGTAGTAACAAGAACTTTACTCTCACGAAACCATATATATTTACAACGTCTAAGGCTCAAAAAATAAAAACAGGGGAAAGATCTCTCGATGTAATTATGATTCGGACAACCTAAACAGCCTAATGCTAGCAATCTCATTAGGCTAGATGCTTGTGTAAAGTCCTGATCATAACATTTTTTCCTATCAGTTATTTGATCTTTAGATGTGTGTTCGCTCACAAAAAGGCTGGCAAGTTAGTGATTAAACATCATATACTGGCAAGCGTTCCTTAATACCGATACGACATATGGGGCACATTTTACACTTCTCACAGCAGGTACTGCAGGCATGGGGAATAACGTGCATGTTACTCTAAAATGTTATGAAATCCGTATATAATTAAGCTTTCATGAAGTTAAAATGCTTAGAAAAATCCTACAGCAATAATGTGCATACCTGCAAAGAACACGATGTCTACAGGGAAGCAAAACCACACTAATCTCTCTCTCAAAGCAGACCCTGCACAACACTTTTTCCTGGAACGCAGCACATGATAATAACATTCAGGCATCAGCAATGAAGACAAGTAGCTCAAATTTGGCTCCATTGGCTATGAAACTAGTGTAGTAAATAAAATATATGGAAACATATGTGGTAGGTTGCGAGGAGAAAAAAGAGTCAAATTTGCAATCAGAAAACAGATTCCATTAACAGTCATGTCAATCCAAGACAGTTCCTGTTTTTCTGAATCAAAATATTGATGTAAAGCATCAAACGATCTCTATTTCTTCAATCATTGAGAAAAAAAAGTTCAATCTTTGTTTTCTTTCATTGTGGAGAAAATGTCTCCAAACATCTGATATATGCCACAATTTGCTTCAGCAATTTGTTGACATTGAAATAAAAATAAAACCAACAAAGAATGACAGATGAATAAACACTAATTAACTTTTCATGCAAAAAAACAGAATGGCCTTTCTGTTCAAAAAAAAAAAAAAAAAGAGAATACACTTCCACTTGATTTCTATTCATGTAAATTTTTAAATCTTTTTTCAGATAATATTTGCCTAAGGTTTTGTTTAGTATGGTTATGGTTTTTGGTTTTCATAAATTTGTAACAACTAAAAACCAAAACTAAAAATTAAACACTAACAATTTGTTTAAAACGAGTTTTAACGCTAACAAAAAAAATATAAACTCGTTTAATAGTTTTAAAACTATTTTTGTTCTTATTTCTCTAATAATCATATGATAATATGATAAAAAAAAACACATGAAAGAAAA